AAAGTGTACCGTTGTTACTAAGACAACAACAATTACACTGATATTGTTAATGCTGTATGGACATTTAAATATTGATGATCACTATTATCAATGAGTGATAAAATTAATTATATTTAATGGACTTTAAATGCACTTTAGGCTCCCGTTTTCTATGTACGAGTTTTCCCCGGCGAAAAAATCGGTCTAATGCAAACATAATGATCGTTTCAACGCGCGCGAAACCGCGCACTTGTAAAAAGAGAGCGGACATGCCGTGCTACGGAGTACATGTAAAAAGGGCGCGGAAACGCCGCGAAATCGCGTACATGTATAATTTGGGCGGACACGCCGCGAAACAGCGTATATATGTCAAACGAGTTTTAGGGTGGATGGCAGTCTATTGTGCCGACCGTCTTTCATCCAATTGAAACTGAACATTTGTAAGACATGGTGACTGAGTGGATATGACGCTAGCTCACTAAACAGGCTGTCCCAGCTTCCATCCCGATGTTGATCTAGAAAGTTCACCAAGTTTCTCCCATGTCAAGACAAGTAGCCGAAAACGCCGCTGTCCGTTCACCATTTTCCTGATTTTACCTATAGCGAGGAGAAGCAAATCGCGCTTCAACCATGTACAAATTGACATGTGCTTCAATGAAGAATTGACAGCTGATATTACTTTAAGAGATAGTGGAAATAACAATGTCCAGGCAGTAACCAGATTAATGAACTAGAACTATTGTTTTGACGAAACGTTAAACGCCATTCCTCGCCAAACTCTGGCCTTTTTCTCTATTATACTACCGGGTGGGAGGCAGGATATAACAGGGTCATTCTATGTCAAGTGGGTCAGGGTGGGAAATCGACCCCCTCGAAAAAATATGTTATTGTACATGTAAAAACTAGAAACTGTGCAAAAGTTGTGCTCTGCAGCTTGAAAATTGACTAAGATACGGGCATTTGAGATTCATGGGTTACCGATAAGTTTTCAAAACAAAATATGTATCATTAATTTACTCGAGTTTCCGATATCTAATTTATCGTTCTAGTGAAACTATACAGCTCAGATTTGGTAGTCTTATAGAACTGCTTTTGTAGATTACGAATCTGAAATTGGATTACAGGGTTCGCATGCTACCTGGCCATAATAACCGAAAAAAGATTTGCTGTAATTGTATATTTTCTGGATTTTGTAGTGCTGCAGGGGCTACAAAGTAATAGACCAAAATCTTAGCCTATCCAGAGATTGCCGGTAGTACTACAAAGAGACATATGAATACACACCAGTCTTCACTAGATTCCCAGAAAATTGGCTTAGAATATGGTTTCAGACACAAATGTTTGGAAATTGCCTCGTATTTTCGAGCCGACAGAACCCGGTAGATGAGCTCCCAAAATTAACCCACTTGACATGGAAATCGACCCACCTACTGTTTTCTTAACGAACAATATTAACCGTTAGTTATTTGGAGCTCTAACACAGCCAACGATATTTGTTGTATTTTAGTCTATCCAGTTTTTAGCTACATTCCGTAGTGTGTCTTTACTAAAGCCACAAACTCGATCATAGGAAGTTGTAAAACGACCAAGTAATAGTCTATTCTTTGAGTTAGATGGTTCGTAAATAAAATCGCATTTAACATGATGAAGTCTCTCTGATGTCGACACCCCGTCTTTGTTTAAAACCCTGTTCGTTAAATAGACGATAACTCAGTCTTTGAAAGGGAACCGGTTGATATACTTTGCACGGCTGTTGTGTCAATGAAGTAATACCTTCTGCCCTAAACTGGTACCATAAAACAATCTGCGACAGCTTTGACTATCATTGGCGAGTCTATCAGTCGATAATCATATCAGCAGCGTGGGCTGAATAAAAATGGCCATAAACCAAAGGTTTTTATGATATAATTGTGGCGGCTATATTCCTTCCATCAAAACTCATATGGCTCAATTAACTTCTACTGTGTTCAGGGACGTCGCTGATAATTTAGAAATTCTTGATGGAACAAAAACCAAGACTGATCACACAAAGGATCCAATATAGTCGCGATTAGTCGGTCATTTACCATTTCCATACCAATAACAAGATGTAATGACTAGGAAACGGTGTCTATTATTGACTTCAACTTGATGTTTACAACAGGCTTGTGGGATTTAATAAAATACCCGACAGCGGACATTGTGGGTGTGTGCATTCACAAGTTTAATTAAATATATTTAATAAATTATATTTCGAACCACAGAGTGGATCTATTAAAGTTTTTTATTTTTTTATTTGTTTTTGGAGGGGGGTGGCACAGTATAATCATTGTGTGGCATTTAGCGATGGAGTTTAACAAGAAAAAACAACACAAGAGAGTGTACATTAGAAATAATATATACTTGTTGAAACGTCGTGTTATATGGTTACAATAACACTTGTCGAAAGGTCGTGTTATATGGGTACAATAACACTTGTCGAAACGTCGTGTTATATGGGTAAAAACCAAAGACTGTTTCCATATAGCATGCATGGTATTTCTTGGATAGGACACAGTGGCGACGATGCGTTCTCCCTAGACCCAAACGATTTACAAGCGACTTAAATCGCTGAGTTTTACATGGTTTAGTAGTATCTCCAGGAACAACATAGCTAATATTTACATGCAGTAGGGTGGTGTGTACAGTGTAGTGTATATATTTAGATGCAGCAGGGTGGTATGTACAGTTGGGTGTATAATCATTTTCCCTGTGTTTCAACGTTTACCCTTAGTGTCGCCCATTTAAAACTCCTAATAAAATGGGTTTTTTCGCTTTACATCAAATTGAACATATTGTTTTAAGTATAGCATTATGTTTACTCTGGTTCAGCTTGTGGGATCGGTTGAACAATCTTCAAATTGTTCTCGTTTTACGTTGTTTTCTCTGGTTCGTGCAGGGCCGTAACAAGCTCAGAGCAACAAGGGGTCGGGAAGTGTTCTCAGGGGGGGCTGTAATATTGACGAACAATGTATATCTATTTTTTTATGGTCGAAATGTTTTTCACAAGGGGGGGGGGGCGAAACTTTTTGCAAGGGGGCGGGGGGGCGAAGCCCTGCGCCCCCCCCCCCCCACCCCACTTACGGGCCTGGGTTCGTGCACGGCCATCGCAGTTTTTCCACCAACCTATGTTATTTTATTGCCTCGGTCGAAATTGATTGTCACACTCGTCACAATTATGTAAAACTTAATGAAGCTTGTGTTGCTGTTTTATATATTGACTAACAATGATCATGAAGGGCCTAGAAAGACAAAAGGAGGTAATCAGACGTTACCTGCGACGGATTCAAATTTTAAATTATGGCCCCAGAACTTTTGAAATAGTCCCACACCTTTTTGAGGTTACTGGCGCATGTAAACTGGAAAGTTCTCTTGATAACAATGCCATTGTAAGAAAACCCAGATGGAATGATTAGATAAATCCAAGGGCAAATAACTCAAACGAATCCTCATGCAATTATTAGGCAGAGAGAGAGAGAGATAGGAAGGGACAGAGAGAGCGTTTAACTCCACTCGACACAAATTATTTCAATAATTCGCTTGCGCGTAGGGAGTCTTCAACAGTGGGCAAAAACCGGAGGACCCGGAGAAAACCCGGGAGGTTGGATAGGCGACCCTACTCCTTGTCACGTACAACCGAGGAATCGAAACCCCGCCAGTTGACATAATGACAGACCTTATGATAGAGCGCGCACGTGCTAACCATTCGGTCATCCAACCCCCCTTAAGCATAAAGAAGGTAAGGACAAAAACAATGAGTTCAATAATATGTCCAGTGAACTGATTAATTACTTGCCTGTGTTCTAGCTAGGGTCATTGGAGTTTCCAACATGGCCGCTTCCACCCACTCAATGCGCTATGGTGATGAACTAATTGGATTATTAGTATTATGATTTGGACAGAAAAAGATAAGGTTAGAGGTCACGATTATGTCCATTTGACAACAAATAGAAAAAAAAATAGAAATGGGGTTTAACGTCCACTCGACACAAACTAGGTCATTTCGGGACTAACATATGGTTTAATTTTATTTCAATAATTCGCTTGCTCATAGGGGTCTTTAGCAGTGTGAGGAAACCGGAGGACCCGGAGAAAACCCACGAGGTTGGACAGGCGACCCTACTCCTTGTCACGTACAACCAGGGAATCGAAACCACGCCAGTCGACTCAATGACAGACTTTATGATACAGCGCGCGCACGCTAACCATTCAGCCACCCCACCCCACCCCACCCCACCCAACCCCACCCCATTTGCCAACAAGCTGTTATGATTGTCTGCTATTCTTAAGACAAAGACACTCGAGTCAATGATCCGTTCAAATCGAGGTCGTTAATCTGGTGTTGTTTGTTCCTTACATTTATGTTTTATCCCGACTGAGAAAAAGTTTGAGATGATCAATTTGACCTTATTACGTGAAGTTATCTCCCTTCTATATTCCAAATATATGTACGTTTCAAACTTGCTACTTCCTGTTCGTAGGGTCATTTCTATAATTGTGTGTTGATACAAATTATGTGAATTGTCGTTTAACGCCCTACTGTTCTGGACCAAGCGGGCTAATGAAGATGGGCATACGCCATGCAGTGTACTATGAGAGAATTTCGCCCGGACAGCGGCGTGGCCGCCTATTCGTCAACGATTTGCAGCTCTCATGGCTAATTTTACGTGGACGACAAACTATTCACGGGACCTCGTGTTTTTTGTATCCCCTGCTTATAAGGGAGAAAGCACCTTGCTCACTGGACCCAGGTGGTTATAGTACTGAAAAGCTATATTTCATGGCATTTCACTTTATACTTCAAGAAGGACGGAATATAACCAACAGAATTTGTTAGCTGTGTACAATTCTAGTATGAGAAGTGGAATCAGGTGTTCGTGAAACTGGATGAATTGTGTACTTTGCCGGGTGCAGATAAATGGCTCTTTTCTTTCAGATACCAATATTATGGACATTCCCCCATCCACTACACATATGATTTAAAAAAAAACGAGCGAGAACACTAGGTTTAAAAACATTTTTATCATCAAGTTAAACGACTTACAAAAATGTACATCTTTATTACAGCAATCATCCTCCGCGACATTTCATTCTCCACCTCTCTCTTATTATATTACCAATCATGTACTCCATTACCGCTCTTCATTATTAGAGTTCGAATCCCTTTTGAAGCTATGAACATTAATACCACCAAGTTCATCTAAGCCCCTCTTAAACCCATGTACATTAGTGTCCCCTAAATTATCTAAGGATCTCTTGAAACCATGGACGTTCATTCCTCCAAGATCATCAAAGCTTCTTTTAAATCCATGGACGTTCATGCCACCGAGGTTGTCGAAAGCTCTCTTAAAACTGTGGACGTTTAATCCTCCCAGTTTATCAAAACCACGCTTAAAGCCATGTACATTCATACCACCTAGGTTGTCGAACCCTCTTTTAAATCCGTGAACGTTTATTCCCCCAAGATCATCGAATCCCCTCTTGAATCCATGCACATTTATGCCACCCAAATCATCAAAACCGCGTTTAAAACCGTGGACGTTCATACCCCCTAGATTGTCAAAAGCTCTTTTAAATCCATGAACATTCACTCCGCCGAGATCATCAAATCCGCGCTTGAACCCATGTACGTTGATTCCACCAAGATCATCAAATCCGCGCTTGAACCCATGTACGTTGATTCCACCAAGATCATCAAATCCGCGTTTGAAGCCGTGCACATTGACTCCACCAAGATCATCGAACCCGCGCTTGAAGCCGTGCACATTAACTCCACCAAGATCATCAAACCCGCGCTTGAAGCCGTGCACATTGACTCCACCAAGATCATCAAACCCGCGCTTGAACCCGTGGACGTTGACACCACCTAGATTATCAAATCCTCGCTTGTATCCATGAACATTAACTCCACCGAGATTATCTAGAGATCTTTTAAAACTGTGAACATTGATTCCTCCAAGATCATCAAAGGATCTTTTCGAATCCCGCTTTTTGAAACTATGAACTCCGATGCCTCCTAATGAATCAAAAGCTCTTTTGATGTTACTTGAATGCTGGTTTTTATTTACACCTTGGGCACTACGTTTAAAACTATGCACAAAAGCGCCACCAAGAGAATCAAAATAACGTTTTTCAGCACTTTCTTCTGAATCATCCAAATCGGCAATGGTGAAAGGTTGAACACTTCTTTTGCTCGGTTGTTGAAAGCCGACCAGGACACCATCTACTTCTTTATCTGTTCCCTGAAAGGAAAAAAACAAAATATAGTATTAGACAATTACAGTAAGATATGAATCTTTATGAGAGTCTTAAAATTTCTATATGATATTATATATTACAACAAGATATAGGAGTCCCTAAAGTTTCCATGATATAATATTAGATAATTACAGTAAGATATGAGTCATTATGAGAGTCTAAGAGTTATCGTGATATAGCAATAGACATTACAGTAAGATAAAGATCTATAAAAGAGTCTTGACGTTCCGTCATATAGATTAGACATGATATAGGGGACCATACGATGTGTTATGCCAAGTAAAGAGGATCTTAAAATTTCCATCATACCGCCTAGACATTTACTGCTAGATATGGGTAGTCCAAAAATGAGTCTTACAATTTCCAGAAGAATTGTTTGCACGGTAGATTCTAATGTGGCGAATATGTCGATAATGTTTGAAAATGTGTCGAAACCGGTTTGTTGGGTTTGTACAATCGGAGTAAACGAATACAGCCAACAACATAACTAGCCTCGCTCTACTGGTGACGTCCGTTATTTTTCATGTTTTATAAAATACACAGAATTCCATCCGTAGATGGGTTGACTGGTATATTTAAACGTCTTTCAAAATATATTCTAAATATGAGGGAAAAAAAATCCAACTGATAAAGGGTTGCCTGTCCAATCTCATGGGTTTTCGCCGGAACTCAAGGTTTCCTCCCACCGCTAAAGACTTCTATGCGCAAGCAAACCATATGTTAGTCCCGAAAACAATTTGTTTACGAAATGTCGTTATTAAATATTAAATAATCATTCGGGAGCATTATCAGCAGCTTTACCAAAGTTGTGTGTTGAAATAAAATATGAAATGAAATGAAATGGGTTTAACGTCCTAATGTCCTACTCCGACTGGGCTAACGAAGCCGGAAAGTAGCGCTACAGCCTACTCTTATATCGAATTGCAACTGCCAATGGATCTATTACGAATTGTTGTTCCATCCGAACGAGTAGACACATGTCTTTGTCAGACTCTTTGTCCTGCACCACTGACAAGGGGAAACCACATTGGAAAGTCTCGATGAACTTTCTCGGCCAACATCGGGAGCGAACCCGCGACATCCATGCTTGCTCCCAAGAAATAAAAATATCCATATGGTTGTATAATAATATAGTACATGTAATTGCTATTGTAGTATTGTAGAATTTAAACAGGCGGGTCTCTGGTGACCAGGTCTTGTAAACCATGTGTCCAGTTTTACCCCATAGTAATGGTGACGAAAACCATCCGTGTTGTTCACTTCAAAAGTAATTGTTGACCTTGAACTAGCCGAATGGTTTTGATTGATTGGTTGATATTTACTATAGATGTTAATAGAAATTGTGATACGTCACTCAGTACCTAATATTTACTAGAATAAAGATTTTAACTATATTTAGTCACTAGGTAAAACCCATTAACCACCTTCAACTGATCACGATGTATTTATAATCACCTACTAAACTGTGGTACTAAATCTAAATAACCTTTTTGTGAAAGTTTACTTAATGGTCATAAATGAAAGTAATGATTGTTTTGGATTCCCTGAAAAACAAACGATTGACAAATAGTACAATTAAAGGCTCACTTCCAATTCCAAATATCCTCACGTGTACTTTTAACAAACAAAATCAGGAATAAAACGTCCATTCATTTTTTTATTCCTAGTGTAGAAGTACGGGGAGGTGTTGGGGTGGGTGGGGATGGGGGTACACGGCTTATAACCCTTGGTGTCTAACTCGACGTTAAGGAATTCCAATAATCTCAATAGAACCTCTACTGAATCAAGATTAAGTAAACCCTCACTTCCAGCAGATGTTATGTTCCTGAAGCAACGACTGCGAGTTTCACAACATCTGGTCGTTGCTCGTTTACTGCACAATTCCCGAACTTATAGCTATGTTATCTACAGACATGTGAGCACTAGCTTCCAATCAGAGGTTGTGACATCGCGACCTCCACGGAAACCTTGACATTAAATGAACCTTGAACTTTGCAACTCGATTAATTATCACAGGTAGACATTTTAGCTTGCAAGCGCGAGACTTGGTATTCGCGACGATCGAGGAATCTGATAGGCTCACAAGTTGGGCTTGTACCCAATCGAAATTAGTGCCGCAACATGGTGGGTATTACGTGAAGGCCTTGATTAGATGTACGTAAATAAAGTAAGATCAAGCCTTCTATTGAAGATGAGCAGATGTATGATTTTGAAAGTTCCAATGTGCACGTTATTAACGACCTATAAATTCCAAATGCATTTAGGAAACGTCGCTGTAATAAAACTAAGTAATTTTTATTCTATATAGTTATTTGTTTATTTATCGTAGAAGAAAGAAAAACTCATTGTTAAAACTGTGTTGTTTTGTTTTCCCCTCCCCCCCCCCCCCCAAATCAGAAATGGTATATGTGGATACCTTGCACTGTGGCCACTATCGTTTGAACAGTTATTAGTCATTACCACCACCAGCCACCATCACTATTATATACTATTATAAATAATCTCATTAACTATAAGTACTAAACTGAATGAAACGTTTTGGAAAGATGTTTTAATAGTAACCGCCATTAGCTACCTATTATACTCCCATCAATCACTCCACTGGAAGATATTACAAACTAATGGCTGGCAGCATATCGTGTTAACCTTGTTTCCTAACAAACCATAAGTCAAGTCCACCAACACTCTACTCTATGTTGGGAACCTGGTGCTATTCAGATGTTGTTCAATGCGTTAGTTCACTTAAAAATACATTATGCAAGGGGTAAATCTGCCTATTGCAGGTCTTTCTTTAGACCTGAAATGTTGTATAAACTATCAATTAGACGTTTTAATTAACTTATCCAGACCATAATCAACTCTCGATGTCATCGCTAGCCTGCCATATTTACTTGATTATAATCCGAGCTGCTTCTCAACGCTCGTTCATGATTAAATCATGAAATGGATAATCGAGACTATGTTTTTTTTTATCGTATACCGACTTTAGTAATGATGATCGAGGTTAGGCCGAAAATGCAATCGCTAAATTCTCGGTTCAGAGTGAGTTAAAAACTAGATAATGTAAAGGGAATTCCCTTTACATTATCTAGTTTTTAACTATTATAGAGAGAACTGCCAACTCGTTATCTAATCTCCCATAATGTATATTACATTGCTCATTACAAAGACAATGACATGGAATGAAACGGGGTTTAAAGTCTGATCAACACAATACTTTTGTTATTTTGAGACTAACATATGGTAATTAACATTTTAATGGTTACATGTACATTGTTAAGGGGGGGGGGGTGCACAGGCAGTGTTTTTTTCACCTACCAATTTACGTACAGGGCAGTGAATACACGTCTGATGAGCCGCCTAGGCATGTCACAACAGATTTCTTTTTGAGTTCATGAACTTCTGCACGAGATGGCTGGGATAAATGAAATAGAACTGGCAGATATGATAGATGATATGAAGAGTCCATGTACCAGACAGTCTGTTCTTGTATGTTGTTCAAATAACGTGTAGTATACATGAATTGTGTGGAATGTCATTGTTCATCCTCTCTACGCGAATCCCGTCGTGGACCATGAATATTCTTTAAGTCTCCAACATTGATAATTGTAATTAAAATACAGATGTTACGTCATCATTTGATGTTTGCGTACCATTTTTTCAAATAATGTACTGGCAACTTGCTAATCGTACAATATTTATACTAGTTGAAATTTTGGAGCGTGACGTATTTCATTGTAAAGCACGTGCGATTGTCTGTTGTTTTAAGTTGTTTAATGGTCTCGAGTTTATGACATTGCGTAATATATTAAAACAATGTCCCGCTCTCGACAATTAAACTACACTTAAAAGACGGTTGGGTGGGGATGCCACTTTTAAGGCCAACGACCAAGCATTAAACTCGACTTGACAGCAAACAATTGCATTTAACGACTGATCAGAATCGTCGAGATTGGGAAGATGGGGTTCCTTACAATTTTAGACTGTGTTAACATGTCGTTAAATTTGGTCCTTTCTATTAGTCAATCAGAGATTACAATCTGGCAATGGATTTTAGTCTACAGAGACAGTACTAATGGAATATCACAACCAGAAGATAAGGTTTTTTTATAGGCTCTTGTTCAATAATATCAAAAACAATGCTTCCCCGATAGTTTACTTATATCAACAGAAAATGAAGGTACAGTCCATCGATCAACTCAGATTTATAAAATAAAAAACAAAATGTTTCCCGACAAAGAATATGAGGTCACTGATCATCATTTGAAAGAGTTGATTTTAAGATGGATGTGTGAGCGTATGCGGGGGGGTGGGGGTGTCAGTAATTACGGATAATATTGAATTTTATTAAGGTGCTTCCGTAGGACTAGCCGAACAATCACATCACGTTTTGAAAATAAAATCTCAAATACTTTGACCGAAACAGCTACAGTATGCCGACCAAACCCCATCTTCAATAGAAGGCTGGATCTCCCTTTAACTCGGCACATCTTATCAAGCCCACCACGTAATGTCCTGCATATTTCCTCATCACTAATTTCGATTGGCTACTGACCCAGCTGGCTGGGTACCTCTCAGGATACTAGATAAAAAATTTTTATCGGAACGAATATCAAGGCTCGCGCGTTCCAGCTAAAATGGTTACCTGTGATAATCGAGTTGTAAAGTTAAAGGTTTGACTTGTTTGATTTGAGTGTGTTTGTGTCACGACCTCTGATTGGACAACGCTATTGTTTAAGTGTCTGTGGTAAAGGGAGATAACGTAGCTATAGGTTGGGGAATTTCTGACTAATCTAGCAACGGCTAGATGTTATAAAACTCGCGGTCGTTGCTTCAGGAACACGAATAAACCCCAGTTGTAGCTGTGAAAGCGTTTACATAAATTGTAAATGGAGGATAGGGAGTGGATATTAAAATTGTATCGAATGGACATTAAATGTATTCGAAGTCGTATATTCGAAATAGGTTTGGTAAATGTTACTTT